AAGGCAATATCACTACGGAAGTAGATTGCCCCATCTTCCTTCCAAGGAGTGGCTGGTGGGTTTGAACTGACAGCCTTCTGGTTAGCAGTCTTATTCATCTGCAATCATGCAAACAGGTAAGTCTGAGATCAACTTCAGGTTTATTGGATTATCTCTCCATAGATGTAATTCTTCTTATAATTGGGTACCAAAGTCAAGCAAGATTGAAGTGGAAGAGGGGGCAGAAAACCCATTTGTCTTGGGGTCATACTCACTAATCCACCTTCACTATTAATAATATTAATATTTTTCCAAATCTTACTCTTCTATTTACTTTTCAATTAGTTAAGAACCTGCAGAGGCAAGAGTGTGATTAGTTGGTTTCTCATTAACCCCCCCACACACCAAATACTATTTTCAGGAGATAAACAATCTACTTCCATAGAGATACCACCTCGAAAACCCAAGGAAGGGTAGCTATGAGTCAGAATCAACTCTAGGGCAGTGAGTTTGTTTGGTTTTCTGGTGGTGTAATGGGTAAGGCATTTGGCTGCTAACCAGAAGGTGAGTGCTTCATACCCACCAGCTGCTACACAAGAAGAAGATGAGACAATCCACTTCTGTAAAGATTTACAGCCTTGGAAACCCAATGACGGTTGCTCTGAGTCAGAAGTGACTCAATGGCAATGTGTATTAAAATACAATTTTAGGATTAAGAATTCTACTAAAGTGAATAGGGCATTGTCTTTACACTCCAAGAATTTATTAAAAAAACAAAACAAAACAAAACAAAAAAAACCTCACTGCCATCAAGTCAGATCCAACTCATAGTGACCCCTCCTTGGGTTTCTGAGGCAGTATCACTATGGAAGTAGATTTGGTTAGCAGTCAAATGCTTAGACACCATGCCACCAGAACTCCCAAAGAATTTATAGTTCTAAGGTATTTCCATAGAACTTCATACCTATCTCCATGACTAAATCAACCCATTGTAAATTTTTGTTTAGTTTTTACTTCCTCATCTACACCACAAACACAGATAAGCAGGACTGGAGTCTTTTCTAACCACATAACCTTGGCCTAGTAGCTGTTTAGTAGGCTGTCATAAATGTTTGCAGATAAAATGGTTCACATGGAGTGTTTACCCTACCTTCAGAAGAGAACCTGATTTTAAACCCCCAGAACTAACTTTTAATCCTGTGACTTGATTTCTAGCACAGAACTTTCCATTCTCATGATCTCAGGTTCAGCTCAAAGATTCTATAAAATAGTAGTTTTGCTTGTATTCTCACTTGTCAGTTTTACTTTCAGGGCTGGATGACAAGGTCCTTCCTCTTTCTGCCTGAAATGTTGTTGTTAGGTGCCATGGTGTTGGTTCCAACTCATAGTGACTCCATGTGTAACAGAACAAAATGTTTCTCAGTTCTTCACCATCATTAAAAATGTTGCTATGCTTGAGCCAATTGATGCAGGCACTTTGTCAATGAAGGTTTCTATCTTTTTCACTGACTTTCTACTTTACCAAGCATCATGTAATCCAGGGACTTGTCCTTCCTGATAACATGTCCAAAGCAAGTGAGATGAAGTCTCATCATCCTTGCTTCTAAAGAGAAATCTGGTTATGTTTCCTCTTAAGATTGATTTGTTTCTTCTTCTTGTAGTCCATGGTGTATTCAGTATTCTTCACCAGTATCACAATTTAAATTCATCAGTAACAAATAAGTTCTGTGAAATAATAGGATCAAGCCAGAGAATCCACTCTGCAGCCTGGATAGTCTTGGTTAGCAAGCAAACTGAACAAATAAAACACACATACTAAACTTGGACTCTATTTCAAAATCACCTAAGGTGCCTTTTAAAGGGAAAGATTATAGAGCCATATCCTTGATCTCCTGAATCAAAATTTCTTGGTGCTATTACTTCCAGTTTAGCAAATTCCTAGGGTTACTTTTATGTGCCATTAGGATTGACAATTATTCTATTTCATACCAATATACTTTGGTACAAAAGGAAAGCTAAATTAGTTCCAAATAAGTTTGAGAAGTTTTACCTTCTTACTGGGAACAATCAAAACCAAAAAAAGAAAAAAACAAACTGTCATCAGTTCAGCTGATTCCAACTCATAGCGACCCTATAGGACAGTGTAGAACTGCTGTATAGTGTTTCCAAGGCGGTAAATCTCTATGGAAGCAAGTTGCCACATCTTTCTCTCCATGGTGGTTTAAACTGCCTACTTTTTGGTTAGCAGTTGAATGCCTTAACCACTGTGCCACTGGGGATGCTAGGAACAATTAACAAACTTAAAACTAATGGAAAATCATTTAAATTCTCCATATCTTCTTTTCCCAGAATGATCTATAAATTAATAGAATATACCATGCAAATAATACTGAAATGGATTTATTAGGAGAAATATATATATATATAGGAGGGAGCTCTGGTAGCATAGTGCCTAAGGCACTTGACTGCTAACCAGAAGGCTGGTGGTTCAA